TGGCTTTTCTATAAAAAGGCACCTTCCTGTTGAAGCCATTTCAAGGATGCAACTTCCAGAGATGACAGTATTTTTGTCTGTGCAAAAAAAGCTCCTTCATAGCTTAGCATGTAGCTAAGTCATGTTATTATCTGTTCATCAATGTAGCATTTGAATAACTCTTGCTAATTTCAGTTGCAGTGGCAGATATAACATCATTTGATGCCTGTGATTCCAAATCTGGAGGCACCTGTACAAAGCTTCCTCTTTTTCATCCAACCAGAAATCATGTCTTGTGTTATTTAAAGTTTGCAACTTATGTTTTCAACTATATTTGCAGGAATATCTAGTTACTTTACTGACTTTTGCACCTTATTCCTTTGATGTGCAAAGCAAAGACGTACTTTTCTAAACATTTGTGCATTACCTTGGCTTATATTTCTGTCATCTGTTTATTGCAAAAAATGGAATAGTATTAAAATAAAAAAAAACTTATTTGCAGTGGAGTTAAATAATTGAAAGTGCCGCAGGTATCAAATCAGACCTAAATGTAACAGTTGAATTTGATCGCACAGTGACGCAAGTATGTCTAAATCTCTTCTGCTTTGTGTCTTTTTCCTCCCACCTATTTCAACTCACCATCTTTTCCTTTCCTTCACCCTCTCTTCCACTCCTCCCGACTTACAGTTATATCTGAGTTCACTGAGTTCCTGATGATGGTTTTACAATCTGTGGGTGTAGGCCAGACTACCTTGTGTAGCTGCGGCTCTTTAAAGTGTGGGAATGTCACCAGCATGATCCCCTTCTCTGCAATTCACTGTTCCTGGGATCGTGCCCACTGCCTGCTGGGAAAATCCCACCGCCCTCTCTGCGGGGGAGAAATTTTACTCTCTGCCTTACACCCTGGTCATTACTACCTGCTGCCACCCATCCTTCTAAAGCTTTTTTTTTTTTTGTCTCCATTTAAGCAGAATCATATCCATGTGTATTTTTTCTATGACCGATAAAAAGCAGGTTTTGCACTAAAGTGCAGTTTAGTAAACATAAAAGCAAAAAGAAGGTCAAATCCATTTCGATATGGTTAGATTTAAAACCTGACGGATATATGGAATAAAAAGTAGTCCATCTGGCCTAGCTGACTTCCAGTAAATGAAATCACAGTGATGCTAGAAACCTTGTTGTGTGAGGTCAAGGTGTCACATGTTCGCAGATGATACTTTTACATGTGAAAGTGAGATTGCGGCTAAGAGAGGTTGCAGATGGTGAACTCTGTATCGCAGTGCGAACGAGGCAAGGATGACAGGATACACACAGGGATAAGAAAATGTATGAATACCAACTACGGCTAGATGAGGTGAGGCGACATGAGTTGAGGGGGGGGATCAGATATAACTGAAAGCATAGAAAAGGCCGAAAGCAACAAAAGCTTGAGGAACCAGAACAGTGAGATCAGAGCGAAGATTGGGATTCAATCCCATAGATGATCCCTTGTTCCTATTCCGATCTTATCCCAGAGGACTGCTGCCACCTGCTACCTCATCGACTTTCCTGTCCATTGATCAGTGCCAGGAGCCCATCAGTGAGTCCCCACGGCTCCTTCATGCACATCTGCAAACATGAAAGAGCTAAATATGCATGTGTACTACCCGGTTCGACAGCTTAATAGCGTCCCACATTAAATCAAACTCTCCCTAGAAAAAAACGTGCTACCTTTAACAAACACACACACGCAGAGTTGCAGCAGTGCTTAAGCTGGGCAGCAATTGACATCACTGCCTGGTACACACAAGCGCAAAAATGAGGTGAAATTGACTGTAGGCTTCAGGCTCTGAGAAAGAAGTCAATGAAGAATTAAATGCTGTGAAGGTCAGGCTGTTTTGATTTTTGTGCAGATGTGTGTTAGGAAGTAATCTGTGTATTCGCAGACCCAAGAGGAAAGACATGATTGCTTATAGATGCAGAACCGCCAACGCTAACTTCTCCTTCGATCTGTCCACGTGTGTTTAGGTATTCAAAGCTGAACGACCCGGCAAACTGGCTGTCTATCAACAGAACCAGCGGTCAGATTGTAACAACTGGAATGCTCGACCGGGAGTCCGTCTACGTAAAAAACAACATATACGAAGCTACGTTTCTGGCTACAGACAATGGTAAGAAGCAGTTTTTTTCTCCTCTTTGTTTGCATTTTATAGTTTCTTAATGCAGCAACGGTTAATTTACTACCAAGAGAAAACAATTCCTGTCCTTTGTTTTTTGCTAACTCCTCTAACATAATATAAATATCCCAAAATGGATGCAAATTAAAATGCATCTATCAAGATAATTGTGTTCCATGGAGGGAGCTAAGAATCTTGAACTTTCAAATTTCCAAGGATTTATAGATTCAAACATGTGTCTTCTAAAAAAATCCCTCCGAATCAGAATGTAAATCAAACCTTAACTTTTTTTTTGTCTGAATTTAACAGCATAAAAGGTTGATGCAGAGTCTGAAAACTGCACAACTGAGCTTACCTCAAAGAAAATCCTGGATTCACACAGCTGGTCACACTGCTGATCCTCTCCTCTCTCCGTGTTTTATCTTCAGTCCAGACCTGACTTCTCCCTCTATTTCCTGTCATTTCTGTCGCATGTGTTATTTGTTCTGCCTCAAAGTTGAAACTTAAGCCTAACCAAGCACAAACTCAATCACAGCAAACAAATAAGTTCCACTTTACTCAACTGGAATTGAGTGTTTTTGCTTTTTTTTTTTCTCTTCAAGTAGGAAATGCCTTTTTCCCCTTTCCAAATTGCCTTATCAGTGACACACAGCTCTCTGCTGTGTTTACTTTAAGTTGAACCGGCCTAAAAACTTAGTAGTATTTCTAAGTGTTTGCATCTGTAAATGCTCTCATGTGCAGCTCTTTTATGTGTGCGTGTGTGTTTCTGTGCAGTCAATTGCAATGATTGAAAATATCAATGTATGTGCAGCTGACTGTGAGGTGGAGAAGCTGACATCCTCTTACTGCGTTAAATATCCTTTTCTTTTTTTTTCTTGGCCTAATTTATAATGATGGATGGATGGATGGATGGATGGATGGATGGATGGATGGATGGATGGATGGATGGATGGATGGATGGATGGATGGATGGATGGATGGATGGATGTTTTTTGATCTGAAAAATGTAAGTGAAATAAGCAAAGACCTAATAAATCTGAGGAGGCAAATGCTTCCTGCAGATGTGACTTTGTAGGTGTTGCAATAACATCGGAGAGATTATGGTAAAAGTGCTGTGAAGCGGTAAGAATATTAGAGAGGGACGGTGAAGAGGTGTTGACAGCATGGTGAGAAGCACACTTCCAGTTTCCCCCTTGCTGTCCACCCCTTTAGTAAATGCCTGTACAGTATTGTTCGTGTGGATGTGCTCATCAAAGAACATATGGTCAGCTCTTAGATGCCTTTTCTCCACTCCTGACATCTCGAAAAAGAGAATTAAGACAAATCCCTTTGAGAAATTTACACAAACATAATTATTTATTTAGCTGGTTAAAGCCCACTTAATTCTCCTATCAGCTGTGGCAAGCTGCTTCCACATGTCTCCCATACATGGCCGGGATTAGCAGTACCACAAAATGAGGGGAAAAGTCTGGGAATTCTGTTCTTATAGCCATGTGTGTGAAAGTCTGTGTTTGTGAAACATGTTTCTGCATTTATGTTCATGTGTAATGAAAATTGTGATGAAGATGCTTGGATGCCTAAAAATATTTATAACTAGTCAAAACAAAAAAGGAAAAAAAAAAAAACATTTGTTAATATTCCTGATGCACGATCTTTTAGTGTCAGTGAAATCAATAGGTAATGACAATATGCATGGGAAACCACCCTTGAAAAAAACAAATTAATTTATTTTTGTATTAATGTCATTTTTATGATTAACTTAGCTTAATTTTCTGCTTTTGTTTTGACATTTTCTCTGAATTTTAAACATATTAAAATATCCATGCTGGCTAATGTGGCCAATACTGCTAAAGCTTCAAAGCTATGTGATGATTTTATGTGCAACCTCTCGTCTTGGCAGACGTCACTAACCTTGTAGCAAAAAGCCCAGCTTTTACAACTGGCTAGCTTAAGGTTAAAAGATAAGCTATTGTAGTGAATCTCACTCATTTGCCAGATTATTTTGGCTGCCAAGTAGGGCTCTACTATTCACTAGGGCTCTAGTAAATAAAACCTTCTCTTCTGTTTTGGTTTGTTTTTTTTAACAATCAGAAGCGATTCTAGCAGCATTTTCAGGTACATATGCAGAACCTAATGGGGACTCTTCAAAGTGAATATTGTTCTAAGCCTTTTCATTGAGCACCGGTTGCTCCGTCGGTTCCCACCCTGTTTTAAAGCTGATACAGATAATTGAGTTTCTCCTACAGCCTTCAGATTGCATTCAAAATAAAAGTTCATGGTTTTGAATTATATTAGAAATTTTCTGTTCCATCCTTAGTAAAATAATAAATAATGAAATTCAGTATTGACCAAAACAGTTATAATTTGTTCATAATCAAGCAGTCTTACTTCTTGAATTTAATTAAGAACTTTTTGTAACAAATTTGGTTAAAGCCTATCATACATTATGTTGTATTCATTTTTTCATCAGATGTTTGTTTTTTTTTTCATCCAGCTTTACATGACATATTTTTTTTACTATATAAACAGTTTATTAAAATTACATAACTATTTACAATTCGTTTCTATTTACCCATGGACTATGTCTAGATGCCGTTACAAAAGAAATCTGTTTTAAATTACTAATGAGTAGTCCAAATAGATGAAACATGTAGTTTGATCTGCAACAAAGATCACAGAGGTCATAATGAGTCAACAAACTCATTCTGACCTCTCCTCAGCTGTGCCTTTTTCCTCTTTGGGAAATGTCTTGCTCTGTAGCCACGCTTAATTGGCAGATCTGTAAGATTTGCATAAATCTTCTTAAATTGCATTGCCCTTATCTGATCTCAGAGATAGGCCCTAAGGTTGGGGGAGTCCATGCAGTGGCTCTGCCATTAGGGCATGACAGCAAAATGACTTGTAATTGGAGGCAGCTAAGGGTCGTCACCCCGTGGTTCTCTCTCAATAAGCGGCTCAAGGGTTTATGTCACTAAAATCCCCCTTTTTTGGGGGATTTTTTTTTGTGTCTCATTTTGCTGCTGCACACACACACACACACACACACACACACACACACACACACACACACACACCTTTTCATGTTTGTTTTCTTGCTCAGCTATTTCACTTCCCCAATTGTTAAATGTCTATCCTTTATTCCCAATTTTCCATAAATGTCGTTGGTAATGGTCTGTTACTCTGTTCAATCAACACAACGGCTTCAAAATTGTGTCTGTAGATGGGGTGTGAGTGTTTCTATGTGCAGCAGTGCATGTTATTGCAGTCCAAAGCTGGCAGTATTGCTGTTGAAACAGCACCTGCTATGGCCCGCCTAAAGCATCAGAGCAAATTTTACAAGTTGACTTTCTGCAGACTAAATGTGGGATGAAGTGCAACACTTCTTTGAAACTGCGAAGCCACCATTTCCACATGTGTGTAAGCTGCTTTACCTGTGAGAAGCTGTTGAAGAAAATAATGTGTTGACGTAATGAGGCTTTGCAGTGTGTTAAACAGATTCTGAAAACAAAAAACAAGTATGCTTATCTTTAAAAGCAGTTTCACTTTTAACAGTTAAATGAATAATAAGGTCAAATAAATTAATTTGGCTGAATACAACACAAGTAAATTCACTGTATGCTGTTTGTAATTACTTTTTTTCCCCTGTAAAACAAGGACATATTAGACTTTTTTGAAGTGAGGCTGTGGTGTAATATACAATTATACTTCAATTCATTTTAAAGTCAACAATTGTAAGCACAAATTTAAATATCTAACATTTTAATTCTTATCAAAACTATGCATACTATGCATACTATGCAACCTTACCGAGCCCCCTCGGTAAGGTTGGCCCAAACTATAGGCTTAATGCTGGCTGTGTGCTTAAGATCTTTGTCCTGGTGGGACACACAATTGTGTACAATTGTCAACTGGATGAACGGTGATTTGAGATGAAATTGAAAAAGAAAATCACATGCAAACTAATCCACCCATCTTTGTGTAATGCTCCTAAACCACTGGCAATAAAACTGATGTCTCACACGATGCTATTGCTGTATATGTTAACCATTGTAAATTCAAACATCTGTGCTCAAAGCTTGCTTAGTAAAATCACAGAAGTTGTATGTTGTGTAATCAGACCATGCTGGAAAAACAATGGCTCAGTGAGTTTTCACACTGACAGAATTGAAATTATATTCGTTCCCTTACATAAAGCCAACGGTCAGCTTCTGGTCTGAACTGTGGATCATTTTTGCAATTTTTTTTTATACTTAGTTTATATTTGACACTGGGTACCTTTTTTTTTACGCTGAAAAGTCCCATTCGTCTTCAGAAAACAATGTTTTTTGCTGCATGGAAAGTAGCCTTTGTGTCCAGTATCAAAGATGACTCACAGCATTGTGTAAATACACACAGACAAGGACCTGTTTTGTTATATTACAGTCATCATTATTGTGCCTAACCCCTCTCCGTGTGATTCGATGTGCTCTGCCTGCATCTGCATCGACTGTGATGGGATTGATTTGGCTGTGAGGCCAAAAGATGAAGTGAAAAGCAAAACTGTCAGAAGTATTTCTTTCAAAAGTTGAAACTATCCCCCAGCCTGACAGCACTCCTACCTCCAACATCATAACCATGAATGAACAATGCTCATTTCACCTCATGTCTGTTGCTGTTTAATTTCTCCTTTTATTCGTATTTCATTATTTTTACATTTCCTCTGATGGGCCACAACTTCTCTGTTTCCTCTCTCCGTCCGTCCTCCCCTTCACTGCACACATCTTCACTTGTCATCTTCTTCTCCTTCTGTCATGATGTTATTTTTTTTTTATTTTTTTTTTTATCTTTCTGTTCCTCCTCCCAGGCTCTCCTGAAGCCAGCGGCACAGGCACATTGCAGATCTATTTGATAGATATTAATGACAACCCCCCGGCTCTCGTACCAAGGGAGTCTCAGATCTGCGAAAGGATGAACAAAAACGTCAATGGTGTCAACATCACTGCCGCCGATGCTGACACGGATCCCAACGCTGGACCCTTTGTCTTCGAGCTGCCCAACTTCCCCAGCAGCATCCGACGCAACTGGACCATTGCACGGATCAGTGGTGAGTAGCTGCCTCTGAAAAAATGAAAAGACTAAACAAATAAAACTTTTATCATTAATTTTTTCCACCATTCTTGCTAGTGTATAACCTCTTGTAAATGTTACATGATGCAGGTAGATAACTGAAACAGAAAATTGTGGATGTTGGATGTTTTTTCTTGGTTCGTTATTATACCACTTTATTACTGTACTTTGTGCTTCCACTTCTGATTTGAGAATCGGATAACAACAGATTTTCAAGTGATTTGTTCATAAAAAAAACAAAAAACAAAACACAAATCTTCTTGAGAATAATGCAGAAGCTTGGCACACCTTTCATTTGGAAATCTACCCAGTCCACATGGCAGAAACACAAACTCAGCCAGATTGGATGAGGAGCGCTGGTCCTCAGCCATCATGACTCTCCAGACGAGCAATTCTGGGTTCGGGTCCAAATTTGTTAACTTATTCCAAGACTTCTACAAAGGTTCTGTGAAACCACAGTATGATCCTGCCATCACCATGTTTGGATTTTAAGTTCTTGCAGTCTTTCGTCGATGCACTCTGTAATTATTTCCATTGTATTTCCATTCCATTGGACATAATTATAATCCCTAATGTTTATTGCTACAGATACTGTCTCGTATCTTTCCCAGACATGTGCCTTGATGCCATTTTGCCTCACAATTTTGTGGCTATTGTCTCATTATGCCATAGATTTGTTTTCCATTAGGCTTGTGTCTTTCCAAATTATACCCACTGAATTTAATTAGGCGTTGATGGATCCTAGCTACTGTAGAACTATATCAAGGGACATTGACTGAAGTGTAAGTCCCATTGTTAAACATGCAAATGTACCGAAATTAAATAATTTTTCATCAGAATGAACTCAGGTAGATGAAAAGAGAAACAATGTTTAGCATAAAAAATAAACTTAATTGTATCTTGATTATTCCCAGCATTTGAGAATATGGTCAATGGACTGAGCAAGTAGAACACTGTGTAAAAATGTGTGACCCAACCCGCAATTTCAAACAGAGATCCAGTGTTTCCTTTTTTTATGGAATATGAAATTAACTGCCAGATAAACTTACCAGAGGCTGACATCTTGTTTATGCTTTTAATTCATTCACATGACGTAAATGTTTAAATAATAAAACCTTTGGCTTTGTTAATAACAAGGGGATGCAAAGTATGAATAATAATATGCTTAACATGGAGTAGAAAGATCTAGTCTTTTAAGTAAAATGTCTAATTTTGTGCCCGAAGTCTTCTGACACAAGAAAGAAATGTAGTTTCAAAACAATAAATATGAACATGGTTATTTCTTAACAAGTGTTTTTCCCTCTTCGTTTTGCTCAGGTGATTATGCCCGTCTCGCTCTTCGGTACCAGGTCTACTTAGAACCAGGAATGTACGAGGTCCCTATCATTGTGTCAGACTCTGGCAACCCTCCGTTGTCCAACAGGTCTGTCATCAAAGTGAAGGTTTGTCCGTGCGATGACAATGGAGACTGTACCACACTTGGTGCTGTCGCGGCCGCTGGCCTGGGGACTGGAGCCATCATCTTCATCCTCATCTGCATCATCATACTGCTGTGTAAGTGTCCTTAATGGACTCGTTCACTGAAACCTTGATGCTTCTAAAGAGGTCCACATATTTACTTGTAGACCTTCGTACAATGGCCGCCTGACAAAGAATACAATCTGTTTTACACACTGATTTTCAAACACATCCTCATGTATTCCTGTCATAATTCATGTTATCTGAACTCTTTCTCACTCCATTGAGTAGCTCAAACCCTGATCAGCTCACACAAACCTACAGATCAACTAAGAGCCACAAGTTATACTTGCATAATTCACAACTAAGCCCGGAGTAAATATTAAAGATGTTGCACTCAGAGATTTATTGCCAATTTAAGATCTTATGACTTACAGCAATCTTCTAAAAGTCTGACAGGCCAATATATATTTTAGCCAATTCTGATTATCTTTTTAGATATATAATTTACAAACACTAAATATTTCTTGAAGCAAAGACAAGTTGCTGTTAAAATAGATTTTAGATATTTAGAGTTGAAATCTTAAACTGTTTTTTTTGCATCTTACCTCAACATAATTAACCCAGTTAGTCTTTCTAGCTGTAAACAACAGTCTCTATTTGTATTTGCAAGACAATGTGGACGCGGCCCACGTTTTAAAGGCCGCTTAATCCATCAGATGCAAAGTTTGAAAACGCAATATAATAAAGACAGAGCAACCTTGTGGGTGCAAAACAACCAAAAGTGCAACATAACCAGCACACATAAAGGTCTAGCTCCCTTAAGCAGTTAAAAAAACAAAAACAAAACAAAAAAAACATTGTGTCTCCATTGAAAATACTCTGTAAGGGTTTCTTAGTACCTCACTTGACCTAATTTCTAAAGCCCTCAGTGATATTAAAACAGCTAGCTTTTAGTTGTCTTCCTGCAGTAATAACTTAGAAGAAATCGCTGTGGTTACCAGTACCTGATGGTATTTAGAAATTATGCATGAGCATATTATGTAAAGTTCGCATGTTTGAGATTCCACCTGGGTCAGGGCAGATCAAGCTAAAGCTTGTTCAAACCAGCCAATTTCTGAGCACATGACCATCAAGTAAATACAATTTTGGAGTACCAAAAAGACAAACAAGCTAAACAGGCACATGTTTGTCCCCAAATCGAGATCAAGTATGTAACATGCACATGCAGTGCCGAGTGTAATATCCACTGCAACCTGAAGTGAACCAGATATGATTTAAATGGTTGAGGTGGGACAGGGGGAACTTATTTTACAGCTTACGAGACACGGTTGGCATCCAATGTTTACAGGAGGAAATGATACAAAAGGGTTAGACACAAGGTTGTTTCCGGATACTGATTTTTTTTCTTCTTAGACATTTGAAATGTCGAGGTCCCCACAGCGAAAGTGCAATGAGCCGTGCTTTTCATTAATAGTGCTGAACAGAAAGTTGCATTGTAATGGCTTAACACTTCAACCCCAGCACGATTACAAACCACACCATTGTAGTTTTGAAAATATTTACAGTGAGACCCAGAATTGTGCAAATCAAATTGAAATTAATGATAATAGAATTAGGCTACACTCTTATTTTTCTTCCAGAACTTTTTTTTTTTTTTTCCAACCTAAGCCCTTAGCTTTACACACTGCTGTGCTTCGGTGCTGTGTGTAGATCCCTTAGCAAGGCTGAAGACATCACTTCATCAATAAGTAAAGGTGTCAGTTGATTTTGTGTTGTTGCAGCACATCCTGCAGCTGTGTGAGGTTCCTTTGTGAATTGTTGCAGGCATGGTGCTGTTGTTTGTGGTGTGGATCAAGCGCAGGGAGAAGGAGAGGCAGACGAAGCAGCTGCTGATTGACCCCGAAGATGACGTCCGAGACAACATCCTCAAATACGACGAGGAGGGCGGAGGAGAGGAGGATCAAGTGAGAGCTTCAGAGAGACAGGCCACACGTCCGCATGCACACCAAAGCCTGTGTCCATGCTTACGCTGCTCATGTGCCTCTACCTCTGTGGCGTTGCAGGACTACGACTTGAGCCAGCTGCAGCAGCCCGACTCTTTAGAACACATCATCAGCAAGCCGCCTGGCGTACGCAGAGTTGACGAGAGGCCCATCATCCCAGAGTCTCAGTACCCCATCAGACCAGTTGTGCCCCATCCTGGAGACATTGGAGACTTTATCCATGAGGTGATTTTAGAGACATTTGTATGTCTGGCATGTGTCGAATCCGTGCGTTAGCTATAAAGTTGCTTATCGCACGGTGCAGTAACTTTTCAGTCGTGCTTCCATGCGACACATAGTGCGATTTGTAAATTTTTGCTTGTTTTTTTTTTTTTTTTTTGGTGGGGGGGATGACATGACAACAACTAGTTTTCCTTCACTTTACAGCCACCCCACCCTCCAAACACTCATAAATACACACAAAACTCAGACGCTGGCACGTTTATGCGAGGAAATACTGATTGACAGACTCATGACAACGCGTTCACACTCGAGAGGTGTTGGCAGCTGTTCAGCTTTGATCCATCCAGCCTTGACTCTCTGTCTGTCTGTCTCTGTCTCACACACATAAACTCACCTGATCTCGCTCCAGCAGTCCGATTAAACTCAAACACGGCAAACACATGGTGTTTTTGCTACGTTCTGAATCCACGGGGGATGGAGCTTTTTAGGCTTTTCTCTTTATTTCTCTCGAGTCAACAAGGGCTGTTCTCCTCACCTGCCTCACCTCGAGGTCGGTGGCCCTCATATGTTTTTCTTTAAAACCGCGGCACTGAATGAAAAACACTTTTCAATTCTTTTTTACAAAATGCAATGTCACAGCTACTACAGCAAATGATGAGAATACAAAAACTTGTATGCCGAATTATTTTATTTATTAGTGTATTTATTTTTACATTTCACCCACAAGATTTTATTTGTATTCTGTTTGCTTTTCAGTGCCTTTTATTGGTATTTTCAGTGAATGACCAGCACAGATTTTTAATTGGATTAAGGATTGGGCCTGTACTGGACCATTCTACATGAACATGATGTTCTCCTAACCACATCTGGACATCTAATTTGGATTGTTGTCCTGCTGGTTGATGAATCCCAGTCTTAAGTCTGTTTTCAGTCTCTAACAGGTTTTCTCCCAGGATTGCCCTGCATGTCAGATCAGCCCTGAGCAGCTTACCTGGCCATACTGAAGAGGGGGCTTATTCCACCTCTCCTTATGACTTTCTTTCAAAAACTCCATTCTTCTTGCCACTGTTCTGCATTTGCAGACTGCTCAACTACCCTGAGCTGTGGATCTTCCGCTCCTTCAGAATAACCAAGGGTCTCTTAGCTCCTCTTGATTAAGTAAGGCCCATTTTTTCTGGCCTGTCAGCAAACCTACATGTGAACATGGTAGGTTTGCTATTGTTCCACACTTACCGCTTTCACATGATTAATTAAACAGCGCTCTAGTAAATGCTCAAAGCTTGAGACATTGTTTTATCATCTAAGATCACTTTAAACTTCTCCGTAGCTTCATCCCCGACTTTTCTGTTGTGTTCTTCAGTCTTTATCGTGCTGTTTGTTCACTAATGTTCTCTAATAAATCTCTGAGGCCTTCACCGAACACTTCTACAGATGATAAATTACTCACAGATGTACTCTATTTACGTAAATAGGTTGCTTAAGAAAATTTGAGAATCCTCAATCTTTTTTCTTTCGCTTCACAAGTATGGGCAATTTCAGGTTGGTCCGTCACATAAAATTCCCATTAAAACATTGACATTTGTGGCTGTAATGGGACAAAATCGGAAATAGTTCAGCGGCCATGAATACTTATGCAAAGCACACATTTTTGACCTAGAATAGTCAAATATATGCTCCTCCACTGAATTTTAACTTGCTAGAGAACGGCATTGTTCTAGACAAGCGTGTACCCCCTACCATAAACAGCACAGAACTGGAAGGAGCTTTATGAGATGAAGCCTGAAGTGCCTGTAATGGAGCTTTGATCAGCATAATTTTTTACTGCACATCCATACCCAGAATCCATAAAATTATATCTGCTAAGCTTTTTATACTTTTTGCACCAAACTCTCCAACAGCTGAACACTTCATTTCAAAACTTAATAGCTATCTTAGAAACATTTTGGTTGAGAGCTGGAGACCTAAAAACTGGAGGGGGGTTAAAATAAAAAGCTCAGTACAGCTGGTTTTGCATGGATCCTCCTAGTTGTGGGTCTTAAGTTAGTCTTTTGCATGAGCCTTGGCTGTCTGTATCTTCTAACATCCCCTTCTGCCAGCATTCCAAATTAATTAACAGGACTGGAAAAATCCCCCCCCTCTTCTACAAAGTGCTCACTGTTCTCGGCAGTAGTTCCCTGTCGCTGAAATTTTTTTGCAACCATGTCATTCCCGAACTGAATAAAAACAAGCTTATGGCATGAAATTGCAGCACAATTGCCAATACATTGGCTACTGCAAGTCTTGCATGATTCATTTAACACTTTCCCACCACATTTTGCAGTCTGGAAGGGAAAACTCTGGAAAACACACGCTTCTCCTGTCTAATCTCTCCTGGGTTATAAATAAAGGCATGCTTCATTATCTGTCTTTGTCAGAGCTGTAATGGACTGCCAACTTGTCTCACCTCTCGCCCTGCGACAGCAGGGACAGGCACAAAATTGTAGGTACAAAATGGGGGTCAAAGTTGGCAAAGGGGAAGCTTGACCCAGTCGTTTAAAACAGCTCAACCTGAAAATGTCCGTGTCCACGGGACACAACTCTATATTAGTGGATAACGATCAGCTGATGTGACGGAGAGGCTTAGCCAGCGGCTTCCGCCAACGTAAGTAGAAACACAGAAACTGATTGGTTCAAAAGTCCACTTGTGAAAGTGAAGAATTTTTCAATTCTGCAAACTTACCGTTTTTCATATCCACCCACATTTTCGGCTTGGGTTGCTTTATGTTTTCTAAATTGTTTTGTACACCTGGGCAACAATAATCGCAGAGAGCCTTCTGAATAGTTTACGTTATTTTATTGCTGTAAATATGGAGTGAGTTCATCTTTTGTTTGCTTTGTTTGCTCTTCTTGTCCTCATCAGGGTCTGCGGGCTGCAGACAATGACCCCACGGCCCCTCCGTATGATTCCCTGCTCGTTTTTGACTATGAGGGCAGCGGCTCCACTGCCGGCTCAGTCAGCTCCCTCAACTCCTCCAGCACAGGAGACCAGGACTATGACTACCTCAACGACTGGGGACCCCGTTTTAAGAAGTTGGCTGACATGTACGGGGGTGGGGATGACGATTAAGAATCCGGCCCCATCTCTCACATATATATACACACACACACACCTTCAACCCGTCAGCTGGCCTGCCAAGCTCTGTCTCCACAACACAGTGGGGCTATTACACCCTTCTTGAACACACGTTAAAGATGGCATGTTCACACGGACCAACCAACCAATCTAATAACCCACCACAGAGGATCAGTGCCGTGAGTCACTTCCAGGTGCTCTTCTCAACTGGCTCCTGCTCTAAGCCTGTCTAAGACTGTACCAGAAGCTCTGATTTGCAGGCTTTGTGTCATATCTACGCTCAAACTCATGTACTTTTTTTGTCACGTCAGTTTTTGAGTTGTGCACTTTGATTATTTTTTTATTTTTTATGTCTGGTTTTATTTCAGTTTCTATTGCCTTTGTTTTTGTCCTCAGTCTCGTTTGATTCAGAAGATTCCCTTTTTCCGGAGGGATTTCACTTTTCCCTCTCCGTCAGCCCCCCGCCCGCCCGCCCGCCCGCCCGCCTGTCTGAAGGAGCTTTAGGTTGAGCTACATGCTTTTTCTGAGGCAAACAAAAGTGAGAGAAAAGGTAACACAGGTATGAAAGTCCTCTTTACATGGAGGGTTCTGATCCATTCTTTCCTGAACTTGAATTACTTAGAACAGAAGCACTGTTGTTTAAAAAAAAAAGTGCCTTCAGTGGTGGGTTTCTTTTAGCAGACTCCTGCTAACTCAGGATTGGTTGCCATTATTTGGGCTAACAGGCCGTGACATGACACCAGACCCTTTAATTCAGATCTCCCTCGTCATTTCTCCCGTCCGGCAGGGCCGTGGTATCAGCGGGAGATGTCAGTGCTTGTTTTAGAGGGCGCTTCAAGTAGACATACTGTACATAGGCCTACAGTGTGTCTCTAGGCAACGGACAAATCATTAGGCTTTTTCAAGTCAGATGTACCTGTGCCCCTAGATCACATTTAGCTTGACTGTGATTGCTGAAATCGCAGATACATGTAAAGAGGCTGTCTTACAGAAAAAAAAAAAAAAAATCATTGTGTCTTTGTTTCTTGTAGCAACAGCAGCTGTGTTTGTTTTGCTCTCAGTGTGTGAGAGATTGGGCTCGTTACTAATCATAAAGGTTGACAAGCTAAATGTCTTGTTTCTGCAATGTTGCTGGGTGTGAAGTGCTTAAAGAGGTTATTTAGGAGCTTGGCTTTAAGATCATCCAATATTTGCATATGTAATCTTTCACCTTACAATTAGCTGTACTTTGAATTACTGTCTCTAATTTTACCCAAATTAGCCCATCTTGCTTGTCCTATAACTTTTTGACATAAACATTGATACAGAAACTAGAGATTCACAGTGAAATGGTCCAATTTTCAGCTTGTGCTCCTGACTTGTGATGTAATCAGTCAGAACTCACAAAAGCCTTATACCTTTTCAGATCAGTGGATGTACCATATCAAACCACAGAAGTGGCAACACACTTAATATGTGGACGTTGTTACTTTGGGAAGAAGACTCAAAGTTTGCACCAGTGAGGGGTTTAAAAATAAAATCAGTGAAAGCACAGTAGGTGTAAGAAAATTTAAAAAGGGAAAAGTGTGTTCTATAAGGATATCAGGATCAACTGTTCTTTCAGGTGACATGTTGCTTCATCACCATCTAGAATTTTTGCAGTTTTGTTTTCTTTTATATGCAGCTTTTATTGGTTTAAAATGAACAATCCGCCACAAGAAATTGAAATTGGAGCTGAGTTCAGCAGATAACAGGAAGGCTAAACAGAGAAAACCAAAATGTCCAGTTTCAGCCACATTGATCATGCTGGATTTGGAAATGTTGGCTTTTTTTGGCAAATATATAAGATTTAAAATGGGATTGAACATTATCTAGGGGTTACACTTGGGATTGCTGTGTAGAGGTACAATTGATAACTGTTCCAATCACAAACTTGAGCTGCTAAAGGACTTTTGAAATGTCAACTCCCTTATAAATGTGTCTTTGTTTTAAATTTGCAAAACCCATCTCTCTGACACAATGTGACATCTCGTCTGCTTCTAGTACGTAGTTAATGAGAAATCATGTCACTAATAATGTTATGGCAGCTCTTACAAAGATTCTTAAATCTGCATTGACAGTTCATAGCTTTGCAAAAAACCCAACGTTGGTGCATCTGTAACAGAAACTGGGGCAAATAAGCAGCGGCAAACAGACTTAGCACTGTCACAAACCAGCTCTCTTTAGGCAGAGTTCCACTTATTTAAAATGTTAGTCTGAAAATCCTGACATTAATTTAAGAGGTTTTACGAAAGGTAGATTTGTGTGAAGCCCGTGTGCTTTAGTAATGAGACTCTTCCTAACACATTTGCTGTCTGCCAGCTGTCTCTAAGCTTTTGTAAACTTAATTTGTGGCACATCCGGGATGTGCTGCAGGGACTGTTGTAGATTGGTTAAACATAGTTTGCTCATTAAAGTTTTTGAATATGCAACACGTTTAAAAAAAGGTACAGGGAGAAACTGATCCTTGAGAGCATGATTTGTTCAGGCAGGTTTGTATTGTTTCTTACTGATAACTCACCTGAAGGTCTACAAAGGTCAGCGGGTGTAAAGGAGCAAGCTTTTTCTAATTATTCCTTTCTTAATCTGTCCAGATTTTATTCAACAAGATTTAGATAACAATCAAACCACTCTGTTTTACAAAATGTGACAAGGAAGCGGGCATAAGCTCTTTGAGATGCCTTGAGGAAAAAATACCACAGTTTCATGGTATTATAGTATTTAGACAAAGATTTAAAACCAAAGTGATCAAATTGCTTTTATTTGAACATTTTAAGTAGCTAATGGTCTTGTTGCTGCAAAATAACATACTTCTAGTTACACTGATACAATACCATATTTTATTTTGATGCATAGATTAAACATTTCAATAAACATGAAATTATTTTACTAGCAGTTTTTAGATAATTGTCTTATCGCACAGAATGTTATACATTTTTTCTATTTTTTTTTTTTTAGATGAACAGGAGTGTAACTAGCTGACATTAGCTTCTTAATTGATCGGGCTATCTGATTGGTTAAAGTGTAAAGTTGGCTGTTTAGGTTATTGCTGCTCATAATTTGTGAACTGTAGTTTAAAAACAGTGTTATTTTTAATAAAATCGTCATAGTTTCTCGCACCATGATTTGGCCTTTTGTGACTGGAAATCTATACAAAGAGTTGGCATTTTATTTGTTCTAAACAAGGGAAAAGGATAGTAGCTGTTATTCAGCCAGCTTCCCAGCAACAGGTGGAGGAGAGACAGCAAACACGGAAACAGTGCTCCGGTCACTTCCTCTCTCATCTCTTTTAAAGGACCTTAAGGTATAAACAGTATAACAGATCCTTTTAGCAGCTCTGAAACTGTTGCTTTGCAAACCCTTGATAGCAGTAACCAGTGTGTAAATTGAGTGAAAATAGACTGGTAAGAAAATATGGAAATGTTTGGCTGTAGATACAAGTAGACAGAAAGTGGTGTGCATCATTTGACTTAAAAAACCCCCCCCCGAAAGGAGCAACCAATCCGGTGTAAATAAACAGGTCAACAGGGTCAATTTGGTTCGGTTGGCAGATTGATAAGTATGAATTGCTGCTTATACAACCTAGAAACGTTGATGATCAGGATAGCCGCCAGCTCAGATATGAAAACGGAGTGGTTTCCACAGCTCACTGCTAGATAAGCTCTTATCTGTGTGACTGCCTTTTAGCCTGAAGAATATCCCACAAAATAAACACAGCTGTTAGTTCCTGTTTGTGATTCTTTCTGACACATAAACGTTGTAAATACAGAATCTTTTTATACATGTGGTGACATTAGTTTTTCTGTGCAGTCTTTTTTTTTTCTTTTTTTTTTTTCCCACTATCGTTTGGTTCCAAATGAATACTTGGCGAGTTATATTTCACAAAAAGCCATGTGCATTTACTAGAATTTGTATAAATCTGTACGGGCTAACAGCCATAATTGTATTGCTTCATCGTGGCGAGAGGGTTTCCACTCCAAACCAACCTGTACAGTACACACTCACTCCTCTAGGCCTTACTGTACATATAAGAGTGTTCTATATTATATAATCCCATTCTGCAGTGTTTCAATTCACTCAAAGAGCAGCACTAAGACTGATGGCCATCCTGTCTCCAAAGAAAGAAGAAATATCATAGTTGTGATGCTCCACAATCAGACATTCAAATCAGATTCTGGGCCAAACAGACGTTGGCCATAAACTGTGTTACATATGAAGACATGACGCATTGTTGTAGTGATGCTGAATGTTGGTTTGGCAGCAAGGCACCAGTGCATAGAGTGAAACTTGACCCCCCCAGTGATCTTCAAAATATTGGTTATTTCCTGTTGAAGTCGTGGTCCATCTGTTGTGTTGACATTCTCTTGCTAATTTAAAGGGAGAATTAACAAATGAAAACCAAGAGGGACTGACTGCACTGCCAAAGTTCAACCCTGAGTTCTGTCTGACACTTGGGGTTACTCGAAGAACACCCGGTCACTGCGGGCTGTTCTGGACTCTTTATCATCATGGACGCAGACCTGAAGGGAGATTCTAAAAGATGCCAAACTTTTGTTCTGCTATGGATTGAAGCCCAAATATGGGCAGCAGGCTCTCATACGAGTCCTCCTGCTATTCAAGTCCAAGTGTACATAATGTAATATTTGCTTGATGCTAAACAGACCATGTTAGGCAAGCTGTAACTGTACAATTGGAGCTTTTTGCATGTGTCTTTTTATAATGGGCAGATGAGTTCTACTGCAATTATCATGAACAAATTCAAAAACTGTGCAGCCTGCATGACGGAGGCTGGAGTCCAGATGGGACTCTGGTGTACGCATATTGTTTCAAATGAAAGAGAAAGAGAAAGAAAAAAACAAGCAGAAAAAAATATTGCACAGGTATCAAGTCAAAAGACTTTTTTTGTAAATTGCCAACAGCACAAATATTTTATATTGTTGTTTGTACCTTTTTTTTAAAAAAGAAAAGGGAAAAAAAAGGGAAAGAGTCTGTAATTTCAAGCGTGTGTTTATATTGCCACTGCGACGTTGGTTTCCAGAAACACCATACAGTACATTCACAGCCTTGCAGATAAACCTTGTAATATAGACGCTGAGCCAGAGAGTCCCTGTCAGCATCATGTGTTATAAATAAAAATTTCCCCTCCTTGTAAGAACAGAGCATCTCGTCTTTTCTGTGTCACCTGCTGTTTCCACTAAGCAATGCATTTCATCTGACTCTTTGTTACTAAAGTGTTTATTTGATGCAGAGCACTTTAAGGTTAAGCTTATAAGGTTAACACAAATGTTTCCCTAATCGCGGTCAAAAATTCCAAAAGAAATCCAACTGAAAATCAGCAGCAAAACGTGGAAATTGTTTACAGATATTCCTGGAAACTCTTTCATGGATAACCTTTAGATATATTATTAAGAATAATAGATAAAACATTTTAGTGTCCAGATCGGTGGTACTCAAATCCAGGCTTCCAGGGCCGCTTTCCTGCAACTTTTAGATGCGACCCCGGTTCAACATGCCTCAATCGAGTAGCTGAATTACCTCCTCAGTGCAGTCACGTTCTCCAGAGTGCTGTCAGGTGTGGAAAAGCAGAGCCACATCTAAAACCTGCAGGACTCTGGCCCTCAAGGCCTGGATTTGAGGATCCCTGCTCTAGATGCACACAGGTGGTAGAGACCTATCAAAAAACACATTTAATTGCAGCAAAATTATGTTTTGCTAGGTATTCACAATAGGAGGTTGAACACACTTTTAAAAAATATTTATGCTTTTTCTTCAGTATTTCAATTATGTAACATTTTTGTTCTATCGGATGGAATTACCATTAAAGTTTTAAAATATGAACAACCTCAGAGGTGTGAATACTTTTTGTATTCACAGTTAGTAAAAACTACAACAGCATGTTTGGCCTTAAACCAAAGGTTGTGTATGTAAGTCATTGGGTTACATTCAGACTGATGCTTACTGTTAAATTAAACTGGAGTGGTTTGATCTCCATATGTAAATGATGTACTTTTAGTCTTCCACAAACAAACATGTTACAAGAAACAGTCCTCTAAGGCAGCGTTTCCAAACCCTGGTCCTCTAGGCTCACTGCCCTGCATGTTTTACATGTTTCCCTGCTTCATTGCCTCTGATTCAGCTGATTGCAGTTCAGCAAATGCATGTTAATCAGCCATCAATTGAAACCAGTTCAGCTGAAGCAGGGACACACATGCAGAGCACTGTGTCTTGAGGACGAGGGCTGAGAAACTGCTCCAAGGAAAGAATTAGAATCAAAACGAATTAGAAATTGTGTTGTACTTCTGTATGCAGCAGTTTAGTATGTTGATTATTGGTTGGGATTCATGTTCAAAATTAGTTTTACTTCCAGCCATGAGCAAACATGAAGCTAAAATGATCAGCACAATTAAGGATGTTCATTCGTCAGATGTCTTCCAAGGCAACGTAATGAGGCCTCCCTTCGCTGTGGCAGATGAAAAACAGGAGGTTTGAGGTTTGAAAAAAGCTGTGCCTAATTTTCTCCCTCAATCTATTGCAAATTTGATCACAATAAAAACAAAACCAGATGTTTCAAAGCTGTAAATAAGAGTGTTCATTGATCTGAAAATGAACATTGCTAATCAAACTTTTCCTCTGGATCTTATTTTCTGCTGTCTGTTTTTTAATTTTGTTCCAAATTTTGTAAGACGCTACACATGAAGAAAAATTTTTTTTTTTTTAAACTGCAGGACAAATTTCATTATACTTTGACTCAATTCATGTCCTGTGGAAAAAGAAAAAACAGTTGTCTTTTATCAGTATTTATTTAACAGGGAGAGTAGACAATATGAAACAAGTGAAGTTAATGTGCTGGAACTTTTTGCTTTTCTTGTCCCTGGTTTCTCTGGTTTTACAAAGCCGCCCTAGAAAACCTACAGCAACGTGCAAAATCAAAGAAAAGGACTCCATCAATCCATCCAACGTGCCTATCCTTGTGGGGTCACCGGGCGAGAGGCGGGCTACACTGTGCATAAATTAATTTAAGGAGATTTTAAAGAGACCAATTTGACCTAAGAGTCACGTTTTTGAACAGTGGGAGGAAGCCAGAGTACCTGGAGAGAATCTGTGAATGCACAGGGAGTACATGCAAACTACATGCAGAAAGACCCCAGCCTGGGATTTGAACCCAGGACTTTCTTGCTGCAAGGTAGTTAGACTACCTGAAAAAGACTATAGTTACAAATAAAATCAAATAAAGTTTACATTTTTCATAAATGTAAGTTGCTATAAGCTAAAAATGTTCAAAATATTTTTTCCCCCCCCAAGTCAAATCTCAAGTCTTTTGCCCCAAGTTTGATGAGAAAATGAAAAAAAAAAAACATTTCCTCATCAAATCCATGACCTCTAGCAATTTTCACAGCGCTAGTAAAGTATGTTATCATTCTATTGAATAAAAGAGTAGTTACCATTTAATTAAAGTTACAACAACTTTAAAACATATTGCTAGATATTGAGAAAAATGTTATTTGGACCATAACACAGCAAGGTCAAATACATCATTGAGATGCCATATATATATATATATATATATATATATATATATATATATATATATACACACACACACATACACACACACACACACAAAGGAACCTTGAAAAAAATCAAACTCTTGAAGCTGAAAGTTCAGTGAAGCCACACGTTGTTTATTGATTATTACCCAAAACGATCAGCGTTGTCTTCAACAATTTATCGCTTTCACTGCATCTGAATCATCTTGGATAGCCTCACTGACAACTCTTCTTTAGGTCTCAATCGTTCTTTAGTCGCTGTGGGAGCAAAGGTAAATATAAAGAGAAATCTTTTAGCATTCAATCCAGGCGGCCATGGCAGCTTGAGGAACAGAATAGAAATGACTTTTACTTTTTCTCTTCTGGCACAGCAGATCGGCGAACCTACACCCCATTCCACCTTCTCCACATTGATTGACCTGTCAGACCATGTCAGTGCAAATGCAGTCAGAATGCTCTGTTGTTACACGCTGCTCACACAACAAGTCACGAACAGATTCCTCTCCTAAAGCTACAACATACCTCTGCCCTCTAAGCAGTCAGGTTGCAGTGTTGACATACTTATCCAACTTTCTGGAATAATTAATGTAACACATAGTGGAGCTATACATCGTTACGCACAGTTTGCATAAATGCCTCATGATTTTTTTTTTTTTCTTGTGTGGATCCATCACATGCGTTTTATTTTATTTTTTAATCTTACATTGCTCTAAATTGGAGCTCTTTTAACATCTTTATCCAGTGTGGTATAATAAGACTGCTATCTATTCTGTAAAAGTTAAGTTACTTGTCAGATAATGTGAGGTTTGCTTAAAAGAGATAATTAGTAACTGGTTAATTCTTGAGTCAAATACATAAGATAAGTGAGCTATGTGCCAAATACAGTTTAGCTTGTTGAGCAATCAGACTGATCTCAGGCTAGAGAATCAGG